CTTCATTCGTACGGAATCTTTCGATTTGCTTGTCGAGAACATCGTATTGGAAGCCCTCCATCTTCGTGAGAATTCGCTTGATACCGCATGCTGTGAATTGAGCTCTAATGTGAACACGAAGTTGCAAATCCCTCTCAGGAGCATCAACTACCATATTAATCAAGAACATAGTAGTCAGAGCATATTCCATGAGCAGATTCTCCATGCCGGCACCACCACTTCTGACCTCCTCACTAGCCCCCACAAGACTTCCCATTTTTCCACGTCCATCAACCGTGACTTCGACAACACGCATCCATGCATCGAACCGTCCATTTTCACCCTGTTGATTTTTCACATAGTCCATAGCCTGAATAACCTTCAAATGACCTTGCCCATCTGCCCAGTGACACAAGAATGTCAAAACTTCACTGGCAACCCTCCTCGTCGGAATCCTGGGTGATACCAATGAGGTAGCCAAAGCCACAATGACTTGTTGATGTTGCAAAGCATCATCGGCACCAAATTTGTTGTTCATCAGAGCCTTCAAACATTTGCAGATGTCATATTCCCTATCCAAATCCTTGTCACTGATCGATCCTTCTGGCCCAGTCGGTCCTTGAGCTTGTCGCCGGTTGATTTTTCCGAGTACGTTGGTTAGAGCAACCTGGCCTTGACACTCTACAAAGGTTTTCACCCAACCAATTGGTTGAGTTCGAAGGCTGACTGCTAGACTTTGTAATTGCTTCGCTGAAATGCTGTTGTCCATAACCTTCCTCACAAACCATTCCGGAGTTCCTTCTTCCTCTGCATTTAGAAGCATTTCCATAGCAGAACCATATTGACCGGTTTGCCGAGCATTCGTTCGCCTTTTTTGTTCTCCTTGCCATTCAGTTAAGCGATCTTGGTGTACCAAAGTCCACTTTTTCGCCGGAGTGTAAGCCATCATTTGTCGGCGCGCTTGATCGGGTAAGTTGTGCCATCCTCTTTTCTGCATCAGTGACAAAAATTGTTCTTCGATAACCCGGTCGTCGTTGGGTTTGTTGAGTTTAAATCCATCCGGCGCTGCGACTGGCGAACCATATCCTGCTGTGCTAAGATGTTGAGGTAATTTTGTTATTCGTTGATCTCTTCCTGCTCCTGGCTGATATGATGGCGATAACGAACCATTCGAGTAGGAACCTGGCAAAGCCGTTTTCGCAGAACTCCCTGATGAGAGAACGCTAGATCTTTCAGTCATAGAATCTATGCTTTGCTGATCGAAGGAAATACGGCCACCAAAATTCGAGGACTGGTTTGTAGAATAAGAATCGTATCTTGAATTGTGACTTCCATTTACCGTGCTCGCGATACTCGTTCGATTAGGACCCCAATGCTGTAATTGAGTTGTGCGATTTCCGGTCGATGCCATTGTTACATTGCTTCCCACCGGTGGAGGTCGAGGGCCCGTAGGATGTGAACTGCCATTAATAGATGCTGTGTCTGAAGCGGGGTATTGATGAAAATCCATTCCATTCATATTCAAGTGATGTGGAAGTGGTTCTCTCCTCAAAGGTACTTGATCGCTCCTAGGTAGATAATCCACTGGTATGGGCGACCTGCCATCTGCCATAACACTGTCATATGGAATCGAAGTGATAACACCCGCCATTGTATTGATTCCCATCAGATCCGTAACAGGCGATCCGGGAGCATCTTCCGAGGCAACAGAAGACATTCTTGCATGCCTTGAAGATTGCGACCCTCTACCACTTGCTGCATCATTATTTCCCGCGCCCGCAGACGAAAGTTGTCGTCCTTCATCGCTGTTGTTCCTCTTCTCCTTCTTATTCCTCGAGAAGAATGAGGATTTGCCAGATGATGACATGATTGATTGTCGTTCTATCGCACAGTCTTCACACTTTCTTCTTGTCCCAATACTCCCAAGTCTTTTGTTGTAATCATCAATGTCTCAAGGGATTGTAAACATTCACATCATGCTCCTTGCCAATTGTTCGAGGGTTGGTCAATCCAGGTTGAGCGTCGTTCCAATGTTAGTATTATCCTGGCAGATCGCAAAGTCGCACTACCAAACAAATATAGTTAGCATGAATTTGGACTAAATTCTGCGACACTGACAGGATTATTTGCCTAATGTACAAGCTAATATCGCCCTGCTCATGAGGAAGCATGGGAGAAGGGCAAAGATTGGATGGGATGATGTACTTGCCAGTTGAAATATGGAATTCTTTCCCACGCACCACTTTTGAGATGGGGAAAAAAAGTATGTGAGTGCGTGAGTCCTTTTGCGAGATCCTGAACGAATCTGGAGAACCCAACAACTGCCCACACTTCTATCGCCAAAGTCTATTTTCCCCCCTGGTCAATTCTAAAGATTTGTTTGGAAAGGCTGAAACTGACTTCCTTCCCTCGGTGTTGCTGCGAGCACATCAAACACTTTGCCCTTGACCCACAGACTACGGACGGTATGTATGGATGCCGATAGAAGCCCAATAAATTTTTCAAGGAACCGAATCCTGTGCGATTTAGCTGTGGTGGAAGATGGATGGATGTACTTTGGAGGTATTCTGTCTGTGCTGGACTGATAATTGAGAATTGAGTTGGGGTATCAACAACAACAACAACAAGAACCACAACAAGAACCACAACAACAATGACAACAAACGGAATAATGGTCGCAAAGAAAGAAAGAAGGGAGAAAGAGCGAAAGAGCGAAAGAGAGAAGGATCGACGAATTGAAGAATTGAAGAATAGAATTGAAGAATGGAAGGAAAAGATATTGTATGTAGATACGGTCAAGGGAATGAAGGGAAAGGCAGCAAGCAAGCAAGCAAGCAAGCAAGCAAGCAAGCAAGCAAGCCAAATGAATGAATGTATTTGTTGTATGTTTGGATGTTGTATATGTGAGGTGTATGATGTATGATGTATGATGTATGGATAGGAAGTCAAACCCCCTTATTAAAGCGCAAGAGGTTTATTAGGAGGTTTAATTGTAAGATTATAATTTATAATTTATGATTTATGAGATCTCTAGGTAGCTTGGACTGAATGCAGAGAAATGTTTAATAAACATACCTCGAGATTAATATTTTGACCTATGGATTACTCTGTTCTGTACCTGTCTGTTTGTCTGTCTGTCTGTCTGTCCGTCTGTCCGTCTGTCCGTCTGTCTGTACCTGGTCCTCGTCCTCTGGAGAACTATTGATTTCTTGTGCTACGAGTAGGTACCGGTAGTGTGTGCGTGTGTCTTTTTTGGGGGGTGGTGGGCTGGCCCGGAGCGGAATATCGGACTTGAAGAAGTTTGTTAGAAGGATGCGATAACGATAAGGAACCTCGGGCGACTTTTACAAAGATAAGATGAAGATGGCAAGTGCCCGGTCCCGTTGAAACATAACTGGGTGACTACTAGGTAACTGAAAGGATATGTATGATATGAAGGAATAGATGAAGCTCTATCGTAGATTTATTCCATTGTCTCTCAGCTATGATCGGTACTGTTTGTTTTATAGTCTGTAGTATGTATTCTGTAGGATGTATTCTGCAGTCTGCAGTCTGCAGTCTGCAGTCTGCACTCTCTCTATTCTCTATTCATGGGGGCAAGCCCCCAAACCCCCATAGCTCGCTGCCGCTCGAATATCCACCCAGTTTCTATCTAGTAGGTACCTAGTATGCATCTTTGCTGTCTGTCTCCTGGTATCCATCTCCTTAAACCCAGCGAATGGCAATTGAATATCGAGAACAAGCTGAACTCAATATCACCCATATGGTTTAAATGGTTATTCATCAATCAACTCAATCACATAGACTTCCCATCAATGAAGCTGATTTGTTACAAACATAGCGTGAACGGTAGATAACCGCTACCTGCCATTTGAAATCAAAGAAAGGAGAACCAACGGATTTCCTACTTGTCCGTTCATTTGCCCTCCCTCCCTCTTCTCGTGTTGGAACATTACTACAATTTCCATAGGGTTTAGTCCCTCTCTCTTTACGGACCGCCAAGTGCCAACAACGTCTAACCTCTTGAGTTTCAATTCCGAACCGACGACTCAAGTTCAAGTACTCCAGTACTCAAGTACTCAAGTACCCAAGTACCCAAGTCAACTCACATCGATTGATTGTTCCATCGTATGACGAACGCGTGGCAACCTCGCGCAGCCCTAAACGGAGGAACATCAGTTCCAGTGCCAGTGCCAGTTCCAGTCCCAGTTCCATATATTCCCCATCCTGCACCTAATGCTGCTGGAAACGAAGATACTCCAACTACAAGTTCATCTTCCAATATGGGTTCCACTTGGTCGTTACTAAAGGTTATTGATGAAAACTACCCGGAGCTTCTCTCCAATTCAAACTAACATAAAGCTAACACTGTTGTCGTCGCAGACTTTAATAGTGCCCGCAATCATTTCACTCATTCTTTATCTTCTAATATCATTCGTCATTGTTCCGTTGTGGAAAAGATACCGAGCGAGAGCTGGTCAATATCTACCCTTAGATACCATCTCAACCCAAACAACAAGTTTACGACAACGAGTCCAAGCCGCAGTGGTTAGAACAATATTTCCCAGTTCATGGAGAGCGGATTTTAATCGAAATAGAATCAGTGCACAGGATAGTATTGATTTTGATGATGAAGATGGAGAGGAACTATTCGATGTGGATGACAATCGACGAGAAGCATTGTCGCTAGATGCACGACGAGGCAGGGATGAAGATGGCAGAAGATTAAGTCGAGATTTGGAAGAAGGCTTTAAAGACGATAGCAGTGATGAAGAGGATGGAACCGATAGACGACTGAGTCGAACAATTTCACGATGATAGAATTCCGGAAGATGGTTTGATGAGTTTCTATTACTCTACAATTAATGTCTATTCTATTGCTCGAGGAGATTCTCGCATTACAAATAACAACCAGTTACCTTTCAACCAAGGAACATCCGCGAATGATGCGAAAACAGAAGATCGATCCGGGGTATATATAACATCTAACGCATATCTCTCTCCTTCTCTGAAGAAATCAATTACCATTGCTCCCTCTTCCCACTCTCCTCATATTTTCGACAAAGCTCCTCAATATCCCTCCTCAACACTTCCCTCGACTCTTCCACCCTCTTCCCCACAGTTCGCACGGTCTCTCTACACATCTCCCCCCAAACCCCCGGAAAATGCATCTTCATCGCAGTCAACGCTCTTTGCTCCACCTCTGCCCGTTTCAGCAACATCTCCACCTCGCTCTTCAATTCTCCCTCCAGCCCTCTACACCCCAAACACCTCTTTGGCATATCTGCCTCTCTCACACTCTTCGGCGCACTGCTGACTTCGCACGGCCGTATCAAATGTCCACATTCCGTATACACCATTTTCCGTCGACATTGCGGACAATTCTGATGCGGAGAATCGGTTTCCAACCAGCGCAATATACAAATGGAACCAAAAACATGCGAGCAGGGAAGTATATATGCGACTTCGATTTCTCCATCGCAGTGTGAAGTGCCGATGTCTTCATTACATATTGAACAGCGCTGAGGAGGTAAGATTTCAGGAGCATCAGAATATGAAGCGAGGAATGAAGATGCACTAGATGCGGACTGCGGAGAAAACATGTTGGTAATTGAAAGACCCATGAACATGAAGATGCTCGAGGGTGATAGTGTGAGGAAATGAGTAGTGGAAATCATAGAGGAGTTTCTGCTGAGTACCTATGTATGTGCATGCATGCGCATACCAAGCTCTAAATTGAGAATAAGAAATGTAAAGGAAGACAGACAGATGGATGTGGAGAAGAAAGATTACATACATACATACGTGCATACATACGAGACATAGTGAAATAGAATAGAATGGGAATAGATCATTCGGCACATATACCTAGTAGTTGAGGTCGTGAGAGATAATAATAATATCTTGGAAAGTTAGATGTCAGAAGTCAGAAGTCAGAAGTCAGAAGTCAGAAGTCAGAAGTCAGAAGTCAGATGTCAGAAGTCGGAAGTCAGAAGTCAGAAGTCAAAAGTCAGAAGTCGGATACAACGTAGTCAGATTATGTGTGTCGGGTGTCGGATACTAGGTAGGTAGTCAGAAGTCGGATACTAGGTAGTCAGATTATGTGTGTGTGTGTGTGTGTGTGTATGTGTGTATGATGTAGTTATACTGAAGGTGTAGTGAGTAAATGAATGAGTGAGTGAGTAAGTGAGTAAGTAAGTAAATGAATGAATGAGTAAATAAATGAATAAGTAAGTAAGTAAGTAAATAAATAAGTAAGTGAATAAATGAGTAAGTGAGTGAGTGAGTGAGTGAGTGAGTGAGTGAGTGAGTGAGTGAGTGAGTGAGTGAGTGAGTGAGTATGCTTTTCTTGATTTGATTTGATATATAGAGAGAGGAATAGAGAATGGAGAATGAAGAATGGAGAATGGAGAATGGAGAATGGAGGATTCTATAATGTGGATGTGTGGATGTGGATGTGGGTAGGTACCTAGGTAGGTAGTGCAGAATGGAATGGAAATTTAATTTAATATGGAAGGGAAAGAAAGAAGGGAGAAAGGAGAAAGGAGAAGGGAGAAGGGAGGTTTGGTTTGATGTGATGATATGTCCAGATGATTAATATGTATGTGTATGTGTAGGTTGTATGTATGTATGTATATGTGTGAATTATGCTGGTATGTTGGTGTGTTGGTATATTGGTATGTTGGTATATTAGGTTAGTTGTGTGTATGTAGATGGGATGGATGGGATGGGATGGGATGGGATGGGATGGGATGGGATGAAATGGGATAGAATAGAATAGGATAGAATAGTATAATATGGAATAATATAATAGAATTGATATAAATAAAAGGAAAGATAAAAAGATAAAAAGGGAAATCTGAAATATATAGGTTTGTTTGTTTATAGGAGATATAAATAGGAGATATAAATAGGAGATATAAATAGGAGATATAAATAGGAGATATAAATAGGAGATATAAATAGGAGATATAAATAGGAGATATAAATAGGAGATAGAAATAGAAATAGAAATAGAAATAAAATATAACCCAAAACATAATATATATCCATAAATCTCTAAACTAAACTCGAAGAAATCGCGAGAGATAGGTTATTAGAGATATATTTATATTTATATCTTTTAGTAGTTAGGTAGTCAGCTAGTTAGTATTTATTATTATTCGATACTTTGTTTGATATATCTATATATATTATAAGAGTCTGGGGATTTGTCTGGGCATTTTATTAGAATTGGAATTTGGAATTTGAATTCTGAATAGAGTTGAGGGTTGAGATTTGAGATTTGAGATTTGAATAGATTGAGATTTAATGATCTTTTGGTGTTGCGTGTTCAGGTGTAGCATGACTATCTAGCATCTAATCGAGAGCCGCGTGAGCTTTTAGGGGGGTGAGTAGGGTGGGGTAGGGTGGCACTGTCACGTGGAGGAAGGTCATGAGATCATTTTAAGAGGATGGAGGGGGGGGGGGATACTAGGTAGCTGGAGTCAGCGGGTGCGAGGGTGTGGATGTGGATGTGGATGTGGATGGGGATGAGTGTTGGGTGTTGGGAGTTAGGAGAAGTTTGATTTGTATTTATATTTGAATTTGATTTTGTATTTGATTTTGTATTTGATTTTGTATTTGATTTTGTATTTGATTTTGTATTTGATTTTGTATTTGATTTTGTATTTGATTTTGTATTTGATTTTGTATTTGATTTTGTATTTGATTTTGTATTTGATTTTGTATTTGATTTTGTATTTGATTTTATATTTGATTTTGTATTTTGATTTTGATTTTGTATTTTGATTTTGATTTTGTATTTTGATTTTGATTTTTGAATTTGAAAGAGAGTGAGTACTAGGTAGAAATGTAAATGTAAATGTAAATTATATATAGGACATAGGTACTTTAGCTCCAACTATTATAACCTACTAACCTATCTACATCTTCAACACCCGACATGATATACTTCTCGAACACATTATTTCTGACTAGATCCATCATCCTGGTGCAGATCTAGATTTTTACAGATATTCTCCTTCGATACGATACGATACGATACGATACGATTTGGTGTGATGTGATCTGATTTGGGGAACTCTCTTATTTTAATACATGTCTATTTAGAGGTGAGTCGTGTAGTCATATGTTGTTATGACTGCGCCTTCTTTTGATTTCTGATGAGTTGAATAGAATAGAGATATCTAACTAGGTAATCAGATGACTGGAAATGTGGTAAGATGATTAAGGTCAAGTCCTTGTTCGTATTACTCTAACACGTAAAGAAAGAATTTAGTTCTAGGATAAACCTTGCTATTCTATTGTTGTGATCGCTTACTTTTTCATTACGAGAAAATGAGGTATACATTGAGTATTTCAGAACGCAGAGTAGGTTTTGATAACTTAAAGGCAATGGATATCTTATCAAAACCCAAAGAAGCTACATGCCCGAATCTCACGCTCGGCTTTCGTTTCTCTGTATATTGGCGTTCATTGTTCTTATGGGGTTTTTCTAGGTGTTATCTTATGAAGCATTTGTGGTGTAAGTATCTGCATGCTCTAAGGTTAAGGTTAATCATCGAATTTTTAAATGGCAAGATTGCAGTAATTCTTGGATTCATGTTTGATATCAGAGAAGTTATTTCTATATGTACCGGGAATAGTGAGGGTTATTGGAAGTAAGACTCTGAGGATTTAGTGTTCTCAATATGTATTCACTCGAATCACTTTCATATATAGTGGTATGGGAGTTGATGATGAGGAATATGTCTTGATGTGATATAGCTGCCTGGAAATCACTTTTGGGAAGGCAGAAAGTTCTCTGATGATGGATGCTGTGCGAGTGTCCTCAGTCACTATTATGTTTTTTCTTGTCATCCGAAATGTTTCCTGGTTGCTCGAATATATTTAAAATCGCTCATAGTATTGAACGAACTATTGGGAACATTTTTGAGAAAGATATTGTTGTTCTGCTATAAAAAGCTCTATAGCCATTGAATCACTTGATATTGAGCCTTATGTCGGTGCTACAAGATTTTTTTCGCTTGCGCTGCACTTCTTCGAACCTGATTTCGATACCGTAAATAAATTATCATGCCACACCGTATCATTGCAAATCTATAATTTGAGCAACTTGTCGTGAAATTTTGCTGCTCCAATGGCCAAGTTGCCCCTGACTTCTCGCTTGCCGTCTATGAAGCCCTTGGTAAATTTTGCGTCTTTCCTCACCAGAATCATTTGCATATTTCTATTGCCCCAAGAAGTTCAAGCCTAGTAGATTAATATAACTTGATTACTATCTCCTCCATCATATTTTGGACTGTCGTTTCTCTTGACACTAAACAACAACAATGCATTGTTTCCTATTTCAAAACAATGCCCACTTTTCAAATAGAAATTCTGAACAACAACAATCCATTATTTCCTCAACCAAAAACAATGCCTAACCCCCAGTATAAATACCAGCAACCCCTGATCCATCCCTTCCATCCTTTCATCCCCAGGAACAAACACCACACCCTATCCAAACCCCCCACCACTCAATAAATCTAAGATGCCTTTAATACGCTACGTCTCACGCACTGCCTCAGACGCAGACGCAGATTTCGGTCCTCGTTGCTTTGCTCCAGGTCTTGGAAGCCGTCAAGAACTCAGAGACAAACACGCCACGCGTGCAGCACTCAGGCGAGCATGCAAAGTTTTGCAAGAACGGATCGCTAATGATACTGGTGATTGGAAGCGAGTGTTACGAAGAGGACATTATGCTGTGGTAACGGATCGGATGGAAGTTAGTCCTGCTTGATCTTTTTTACTTTTCTCTAGTTTAGTCATCGGTAAGTCTAGTGTGACATTTTGTATTCTTCTACATTGTGCCATGATCTCTTGTTTTGGATGCTCTATTTTTGAATTGTGTAGATTACATGTAGACTTCCCAAAAAATCAAAACAAACAATCATATTCACCATCGAAATAAAATCCATAAATTCTCCCAAAATCTCTCCATAATTTGAACAAATTGATCATTTCTTCCGACTTACCTATGTACGAATTAATGAAAAAATCCATCTATTCGCCATACTCACTTGAAAATTACATACTCATCATCTCACTACATTTTGTGGAAAAACGGAAAAGTATATTACCATGTTTTAGACGAGATGAAATTCACCACGAAATTTGAACACCAATCGAGTTATTAATACACAAGTCAATGTATCAAACACGAAAATGATAATGAAACCCCCATCTAAAATACCCACAACTTCCTCATGTGAGAATATCGATAGTAGTGTTATATCTCCTGATGGATGTCAGGTCGCGCTAATGCCAGTGTTCTATAACCTTAGACCCTGTACCGTATTGACAACCTCTCCATCCCTTCCACATTCCATCCCCTCCTTTACTGAAGCACTTATCTTTATCCATTACTGTTCTCTTTATTAGCAGGTCAATTAGATCAACTTCATATTCCAATAGAAGTGAATTCGTGATCGTCAGATGAACGAGTATGCTTTCCAACCACCTCGCTTGGATGTCTCCACATCTTGGCGCTCACAGTATTCAGTTGTTTGTATTTACTTGGCAGCTATTAGTGCTGCTCATCTCTTCTACTAAAACTCAAATATGTGTAATCTCTCATCAGTCCAATATTGAACTTCCTTGTTCGTGATACTTTTGAACTCAGAGTATCAACATTACCATCCAAGCGTAGACTCTCACAACCCGATATGCCTGCTTTGAAATCACCCGAAAATGTCGTCTCTGTTTGACTTCAGCCCATTGACCCAGTATCACCGTTCTGTATTCCAAAACAAAGTTCCCAGCGTATTCGATCTCTAGTCCTACGTTCGGGAATTCTCCTCTTCCATCTCGCTGTTGTCATCACTTGTCCACCAAGCCTCTGAACGTGCATCAAATTTTCTCTGTGAGGAGTATAGATTATTCACCAACAGCTTCGTCTTAACTTCCGTATTGAATCATTTTCACTCGGCAGTCTGATTCTAAGCGTCTGATCACTGTCGTGTAGAGCCCCATTTTCTCCCTATTCAATGGAAACACGTCAATCATGACTTAGGTAAACCCCCTCACCTTCACTACCCCTAGGTGAATTCATCAACAACCAAAGGCTGCACCACGCCAAGCACGCATGTGCTTGATATTCCTCTCTCCACTCCTCCGACATCGCATACCTCTCTCTCCCGAGGTCTCTCTGTGTAAGCTTATAAAAAAGCCTCTTCGTTCCCCATCCTACCTACTCCCTGAATACAGTTCGAAACTTTGTGCCAGAAGCAGGAATTACCTGATGGCCCTCCCCACTAATGTATAAGCATGCGGATGCTTCGCTGTATGCATATGGACGTATGCAATGACGAAGCCCGCGTCAGAATCTATAGGCCTATTAATCTGTTAGCCATCCTCATCCCCATCTGCGGACTCGGTATCTGCAACATCTCAATTCGTTTCTTCCTGGTATCAGGGGCATCATCACACTAGACACAGGAGTCACGAACGTAGTATCATTGTCGCGCCACCAATAACTCCATCTGCGGACCAATGATCTCTCCAAAATTGTGACTCTCGTCGAGGTTGTTGATCATAAAATCAGATAAGCGAGGCTACTTCCCCTCAGCGAGGTGAGAGCACGTTGACTTCCTGTTGCTGTCGACATGATAACCTTATTTGGAAGTTGATCATAGGCTTGCGCAACTAGCTGCTAGAAAAATACAAGCTTTATAGATCAAATTCCCTCAGAAATTACTCACCTCAGGAGCTTTCTGTTGTGGTACTTTCTCAATTGTAAGTCTTTCGTCCACTTGCTATACTCATCCTCACTTCAGCCGAGTTCTCTTTCATACCTCCCCTCACAAATTCAAAAGCAGCCTTGCCTCTAGGTCCCCAGCCCTCTCGAGTAACCAATCAGATAATTTAAGCTTGTGAATTAACCACTCGGCAGAATCAGAGAAATAAACATGGCCAAACAACTACCTTGACCACCGTATTTCCCCGACCCTTCTTTCATCTTCTTTCTCGAAATCAAAACAATATTTCCTTGACATAGCAACACAACAACCTTTGCTGAGAATTGGCATCTACAGTTTCCCAAATCAGTACTCCTGTACTTCGTGTTCTTTCTTGAGAACAGGAGTATTTCTTTTTTCTATTTCCCAAGATCTTTTCAATAATTGAAGTTTGAATCTACAACAGATTTCCGACCTGAAAGGTTGTGGAAGACCTCTCAATATTACTTCACACTTGACAAGATAGTGGTATTAAACTTGGCATTAAATGCTTCAAATTTGCACACCAATTACTTCCTCTTGTAAGTATTCTTTTCTATTCCTTTTTGAAGGGCATCAAAGCTCAAGTTTCTCACTGTCTTGAAGTGTTTCCTCTAGAGGACTTCAAGATTACTTTGAATCAAGGTCTTGGCTAACACTTCTTTACAAGAAAAAGCAGTTGGATAGTGCGACTATCTGCTATTTTGTCTTTTAAATTGCTTTCAATTATTGCTTCTTGCCTGGCATTGTGAGTATTCCTCTCCTTCTTCACACAGTCTTTCTTGAAACCCAAACCCTCTAAAAGGTCAAATTCCTCTATCAAGATGCTATCAAAGTCATAGCTATATGCTTTGATTTCATCTTAACAATTACTGACAGCATCTCTCTACAGAAAAGAGACAACTAGCTTACTCAGACGTTACTCCTTCGTTTACTTGCTGTAAGTTCGATGTTTTCTTCTCCTCAATCACTTCTCAAGAATCCATGAAATCACAAGATTTTGAAGCTGTTATTGCAGCAGTTATTGATATCTGCAAGACCACTGAATTGATAAAATTCATTATTGAACATTGACTAATATATCATGGAATTCTCACAGCCTTACACTACCTCACAATCACATTCTAAATTGCTTTCATTTGCTAGCTTGCAACCTACGAAAGATTCTTTCAAGACTCAATACAATCACGGACCTTCAAAGATAACTGTAAGTTTATTCACAGAGTACTTTTATGATTTGCCGCTGAGTAGATTTCAATTAGGTCGCGTGCCAATAAGTATCGCATCCCGCTATCAACACTTGTCTTCTACTTAATCAGCGAGATTTTTGAAGAGAACAACCAAAAAATACCACAAGTTACTTCAAAAGTACCGCAGCTATGACTACTGTCAAGCCAATCGTCGAAGAGCGACAACACCATTCGTGGGGTTTATTGGTGCAAGGAAGACCTGCTACTCCTTCGGAGGGTAGAGCTCAGGTAAGCCAGATCAAAGCAACTTGAAACAGATCAAACTCTAACAAGCCTTCAGCAATACACTAGGATTGGATCGAAAGATACACAGTCACTTATCACCCACAATAATGGAACTTGCTTGGAGTTCGGCCCTTGGGTGTGTACAAACCATTAGGTATCTTGTACACTAGCTAATAACTTTACAGGACTTGGTCGATGAGTTCGATGCTACCAAGCCATTCTATCAACAAATCCTTTTAATCGATACCACGATTAAGGATATCCAATCGGTCCGAATTCGCCATAACGACACTGTTGGTGACGATGTCGATGTCTTCAAGGGCTTTCGAACCATTCCTTACACCGGTGAGCGCCATCAACACGTGTACCCAAATGGCGAGACCTACGAACAAGTACCGAGTTACTACGCGAGAGTTGAAAATACACCTTCCATGTACTCAACATCAAACAAGTCAGATGTGATCGGCGAGGCACATCCGGGCCTGTCTTCTGATACCAGGTTTGGCGTTTTGGTACCAAGCCAGGACCGAAGCGCAGGGCGTGGTGGCAACACGCACCGAGGAGGCTCCGAACGTGGCAGAGGCAACCAGCACCATGGTGAGCGTGGTGGCTACGCACAGCATCTAAATCGCCGCGGAAGACGTGAACAGCAGTTTGGCCGTGGCCAGGGACAGGGACGTGGTGATGGAAGAGGTGATTGGCACGGTACCTTTCGTAATGTTGGTCGGGGCGGACGCCACCATGACAATGGCAATCATCAAGCGTCTTTACAAGAACGTGAGCCAATGAATGATCACGGAAATGAGCAAGCTTGGGGAAACGGTCGTGGCGAAAACAGTTCCAGCTATCGTCAAGAAGCTGGCCAAATGTATCAAGATTACAATGAAACTGATCGCACCTATCCTACTTTCAGCGAAGATAATCGTGCTTATCCAACTTACGCCGTCTATAACCAAGTTGAGAACCATTATATGGGACATAACGGTGAGGAGTTTGCTCATGCTTCTATGACAAGTGGCCCACAAGGTCCTGTCTACCCGGTATATGAGGAACATTATCCCGTCGCTCCTCCACCAAATGCATTTGTAATGGGCATCAACGGACATGCAAACCCTTACTTTGTCCCAGTTGGCATCAATGGAAATTCTTACGCTGCTCCTGTCTTTTACCCATACTCTCGCAACACAGCCGATGCTTATGAATATGCAAATAATCATCAAATTTTGCATTCACCAGAACCAATTGAGAACCACTTGAGTGGCCGTTCTCAACACTTCATTCCTGGTCAAGAAGTTGGTGTTGCTGTTCCTATGGGACCTGAACACAGTCGTGCAAATCCACGTCCTCGTGTCGTTTTACCACCAACGACGCCCGGCCTACAAATGCATGCTAGATCTTCCGCAGAGTCTGAGGGATTTCTGGGTGCCACCATACAACCGCCAACCCTTTTTGGTGCTACACCAGGCCGTTCACCCATGAGAACTACCACGGACGAAGGCTCGCCACTCATGCGTCCTCGACGTCATGCGACTGATCCCAATCTCTCTTTCACTCCTCTGACTCACGGTCGCTCAACCTCAGGATCTGGTACAGATCTACGTCGCTTGGCAACAGGCAACTCCGGATTTGCAATTGCCGAGGCAAGAGGCTCTCCTAGTGCTGGTGCTTTTTCGCCAGAATCACCACACAATAACAACTCGACAGCTAGAAGCTCCCCTGGCCTTTCATTCTCGACACTTGGTGTAGTTGGTCCCATGGCAAGAACATCGTCTTCCCATGAATTGAAGTATGTCGGCTACACTATTCAGGGTCAACCTGGAGTATCTTCTGGCTCTGGTTCGCGTACGTCTACACCAATTGCCAACCCGGGTCGCCGTTGGTTCGAGGCTAGACAATTCGTCCCAAGTGGCAGTAGATTGTCCTCTCCTGGTATGGCCAGCCCCGGACCTGGCAACAGAGTCTGGGCAGAGTCAAGATCGGAGAGCGGACAGATGTAAGTGGGGCAGATGAAGAAGGAATTGGTGGGTAGATGTGTGGGAAGCGTGGGAGGATTGAAGATACCACGGTATCTGGAAAGGTTCATGGTTATGATATTGGTGAATAGGCATACGATACTCGAATAGTAGTTGACGAGTCTTTATAGTTGGGATCTTCCTCGACTTTTACTTTGGCATCTATCTAAACGGTGTAATGGCGAAGGAAATGTGGTATCCGAAAATTTATCTAGATGGCAAACGTCGACTGTTTACTCAGCCAACCATTGCTTGATAGTCATTATTGACTTCATCATTGGTCTGGTTGTGGTCTGATTGCATATAATTCACAAGATAAATCAAATTGCTTTTTAGAACTTTGTGGCTCCCCTTTGATCGCTGTGAGATAAATAAATCTTGTTGGAGGGAACGAAAGAATCCCGAGGTCATCTGTGCAAACGAGGAGTGCACCAGAGCACCAGGAGTTGCCATGATTAGTAAGCACATTTCTTATCCGGTCCTTCCTTATCGAAGCTCCAAGCATCCAAAAATGTTGAAGGCAACAGCGAGCTTCAAATATTCAGAATGCGGTTCAAGACTTCTGTTAGGAATATTCAAACGCTTAGTAGTAAGTAAAATGCTTAGAATTCCCTTCAGAGACTTCAGAGAAGTTTAGTAGCTTACAAAACTACAGAACTTACAGCATCATTGTCATCACTTGGCAAAGTAGCTTGGGTGCGTCTTGACGATAATGGAGTACGATTCACAATTATTCCTGAGACAGGAACTCAAGTTTGGGCGTAAGTATTGCCTTATTTATAGTCTGGGTTATAATGCTGATCTTGAGCAGGTCTCTCGCGATTGATTCCATCTTTGAAGACTACACAATTCAGTCCGCCGCTCCAGACAATACAATTAACATAGAATTACCCCTCCCACCCCTCCATCGCGCTTTGAAATCCGCCATTAACGCGTCATCTGCTTCGATACGACTCACAAAACGAGATGGCATGCCAGTCTTATCTCTTACAGTTATTACAAATACAATGATGCATGGAAAGAGTGCAAACTTTCTTGGTGGCGAAGGTGCACAAGCAGACCCATTTGGAGAAGGATTCCGGGAAGAAAGTCTTGATGCGAACATAAGGAGAGACAGAGAAGCCATTGTTACTCAAGATATACCGATACGTATCTTGACGGCAGACAGTGTCGAGGGAATACACGAACCAAGGGTTAGGGATCCAGATGCGCATATTATGTTGCCTTCTTTGATACAACTGAAAGCTATCTCGGAACGTTTTACAAAACTCGCAATGGCCACTGGATCCGGAGGAACTAGGGGAGTAAGTGGGGGAAACATACCTAAGTTGGAGTTGAGTGCGAATATGCATGGAAGTCTAAGGTTGAGTATTGCTACCGATGCATTGAATATTTCAAGCGTTTGGACAGGACTTACTAATCCGGAATTGGATCCAAGACAATTGGAAGATGGTGATGATGAAATTCAAAATCATCCAGCTACAAGACTTAAAGCTGCCGGTCCAGATGCTTGGTCAACTGTTAGAATAGATGGAAGAGATTGGGGCAAGGTACTTAGTGTTGGAAGGCTCGGTGGAAGAGTAATTGCATGTCGGTATTGAAGATATCTATGTTGATGATTGATGCTGATGATTATAGGTTTCGTCAATGACCATGCTTTGATCTTATATGTTTACCTCGATAACTATGACGATCGCGGAGATGAATCTGTCCTAACGGTATGGCTGACAGTTCCCATCATCACTGGCATTGCTAACGTTTACTAGTATTACATTTCCTCTTTCAGTGCATAAAGCACTAACAAGAGCATGGAATTTTTTATTTTAGCGGTGGCGTTTGGGTCGATACCACATTTTGCATTGAACAGTTGTATAGCTAGAAATTTGTGTGATTTAATCTTACAGGATATAGCTTCATGGATATGAATACAATCTTCAGTCTTAATATAATCGTATCGGCATATTGAATGTGAATTTAAGATTTCATTCCTATGCTTCCTCTTAAAACATCCCGTCTTACATCAGACACGCGGCCGTCTCTCGCATCTATCCCGTCAAGTTTTCCTCTCGTTTCTTTGTGCCAGCTCACAGGAATCTCCTCACTTCAATTTCCACGAACCACCCCTAGAAAGTTGTTTCCAGATACAGCCAAAGTGTACCTCCATCATCCATCGAAGACGTTCGATACCGTAGCTCCGTCAGAGCAACTGCGCCGGTCAATCATTGATTTACTGGTTAGTGCTTAATCGTATTTATTGTTTGCAGTATCCCTCGCTTTCTCGAGACGTGAATGAGTCTTGCACAATTTTTTGACACGATGGACATTCAATCTGGATATTTTCAGAAGAATCTCCCAGACTTCATTCGACTGCCTGTAAGATATTAGGTAAGTGCTACTAGTAGCAAATCATATATTTTGTGTCTACGGTCTGATAGTCAAATTTCGTTATTTCGATGATCTCATCAATGTATAGGAAAATGTCTAGGCCCATCAAACTCTTAGATTTGTGCATGTAACACACTCTTCCCAACTCCTATTTTTATGCACCAATCTCTTTTCAACCTCAAAATCTATTTTTTGCCGGGGGTTACATGAAATTGCCCTTTTCTGTGTGTTAATGACGTTGAGATATTTGCAAGTAGTCTGCATTCTAATTTTTCTCCAGCTTTTTGAAGAAAAAGTTATCATAATCCGTTAACTTCATCAACAGCGAGAGCCTAATCTATTAGAAGCACTTGATATGTAACGAGGAATGTTTGTTAATACAATGCTATTGTGTATGAATGACTCGTCTGTTGTTTGCTAGAAGAGCTTGTGTGGCTATCATGCAGAATCCGCCATCAAACTAAGGCACTTTCCCAGACTATTCAAGGCGGGAAAACCATCATCTCAAGTCATTTTGAACAATGGCATGCATTAGATTTTCTAAATTTCTATCGTCGCTCTCGTCTCATTCTCCGCAAATTGGATTGTAGGCTATTCGCCTGTCTCGCTTAAAACCCTGGAATATTATCTGTTCCGAGACGAGCGATTTTATTGATAGTTGCTATTCCGTTAAAAAGTAAATTCATGATAAAATATTGTCTGGAATAAAATCTTAGGTCCTGTGAATTAGAGGCGCTCAAATCATTATTAACGTATAGGAGGCGCAGTAAATAAGGTCGAGACGGCTGTAAAGAATTCTGTCAAGTTAAGATCTTGATGGTCTGTAGTAACCCCTAAACGTGCATGAGCACCAGTCATATCTAATTCACATTGAAGACTCATATCTTTGTATTATATCGATTCATTAGGATGATGAATCGCTCTTATTGGAGATATGTCAAGCAGAAGAGGTACGGCAGGTACGCGAATACACCCTGCGTGCTAGATGAATCTGGAATGAGACGCAATTGAAGAAGCGCCCAGCTCAATCCGGTCGTTTCTAATTAGTCGAACTTCTTAAATAAGGGAATCTATGGCGTGTCATGCGGACATTTTTGCTTAGAACGATATTGGATGATAATAATCAAATTAATTATATCATCTAATAAATATTTTCGTTCTATATAAATACCTTTCTTGTTTGATAGTACAGTATAATCTTTTATTAAATATTAATCTAAATACTTACTTTATTTTCTTTAATATTAGTTTGGATTTGATTTATTAATTGATTTATTGATTGATTTATTAATTAATCCATAAAAATAAAATTATTTTATACTACTTATTTTATAATACAATATGATACTTATTATTATAAATAACTAATTATTTTAAAAATATAAAAACTTTAGATTTAATTATTATATCTCTTCTTTAATTGTATTTTATTCTTTTTCAATATATTATCTTTAAAATTCGATTTTACATTATATTATAATAAAATTCTAAAAAATCGTTAGTTGGGATATTCAATAGAATTAATCATTCAAAATTTAATTACTATATATAATTCTATTTATAGGATTAATTGTTTTTTTATTAATTATTATATTAAAAAATAAAAATTATCTAAATATAATGTTTTTAATAATTTCAAAGTTTTAAAATTTATAAAAAATAAATAAATTCAAAACTCAATTTATTTAAAGATTCTTTATTCTTTTAATTAAAATCAAAAAACTTTTATAAAAACTAGAGCTTTAAAAGAATTACATTTAAAATATAGAATAATATATATAATTAAAAATAATATTTTATTAATAGAAAAAGAAGCTCAAAAAGAAGTTATAAGGAATATTATAAAAAATAAAGATATTAGATTTGAAGTTTTTTATATACTTATCTATTTACAATATAATAAAGTATTGATATTTTAGTATAAATTTCGAAAATTTATGAAAAATAAGAATTATAAAGGTGTAATTAATCAACAGTTTTTATATAAATATAGAAAAGACAAAATACTAATTTTTAATCCTAATAGAGTATAATCTATTGATGGATATAATAAACTAAAACGCTAGAGAATTTATGGTTATAGAATAATGAATATATATATATAAAGTATATTGATATAATAATAAAATTAAACTAATATATATTCTAAATAATTTTAATTGATTTATTCCTTAATAATATATAGAAGTTGATAATAAAATTGTTTTATCTATATTTATATAGTTTATCTAACTTTGAAGAAATCTGGAATATATATTGTAATTAATTTGAGAAAATAAAGAAATTGAAATATTGCTTATAGTTTAGGCTTAGATTTTATTAAAACAAATAATTAAAAAAAAAAAATATTGAAACAAAATGAAATAGAAGTTTATAATAATTATATTTCTCAAAAGTTTCAATATTATTATTTTTAAAAAATATTTATAAAAAATATTCAAATCAAAAGATAATAGTATACTCTAACTATATATTATTATAACGGAAATCATGTTGTAGACCACGTGGATTAGATTATATAATGATTAGAGATGTGATATATGGAATACTCTGGAGCGGAATAACGTTAACCGGATCAGACTACAATTTGATCACTACTC